CTACCAGCTTACTCCCTTAGATCGTCTCCACTTTACACCCTCCCGAAAGCAAAGCGGAGACCGAGGTCCGGGCCGAGCCAAAAAGCAGCCACAGTAATGGTGGCGCTGCGCCCTGGGCCGGAAGACATCCCATTTACCTCTAGGTCCCCCTAGAGGGGTATATAGGGATCATAGATCTAATGGAGAATCCCGTGGAAAGGAACATGGAACCTTAAATGGAAAGTACGAATTTTGGATTTGGGGTCTAAGGATATTGGGGCTACTCCTATTTCTCTGCAGCCGGGAGGTAAAGTGACGATGCTGGTACTAAATTCGACCAGAATAATAACCATAGCCCTGTCACATATGGCAACACTCAAGCCTGGACCCACTCACTCACTCTCTCTCTCTCCTCGCCCGTAGATCGCCCGCTATACATCTATACAGATATATACAGATATGAAGGCATATACGTATGATCCCCACTTAGTACCAAGGACAATCATCATAATCACTTTGATAAGGAGATCAGTTGCTAAAGCTCCGGCCTCTGACATCCAGGCGCCCCCTCGCTGGAAGGTCTGGAACTTGGGCTTGGAATACACAATGCCGGAACTCCTGCAGAACTTGGTGGTTTCCCAACATCTCAGGGTATAGACCCTGAGATACTATAGCAAAACTAGAATACTACTATAACCCTTATTTGTGGGACCCCCAGAAAGGTACCCCCAACTTTGGGAAACCCCCAAGTCTACTTGTGCAATAATGAGGCTGAATCTGATCCATCCAGCTGTTTCCAGGTTTAGGGTTGCAAGAAGTCACGCTCAGGCAACTGTGGTCACCAGAGAGAATCTCGTGACGCGCAGCTGCGAGTGGCCCTTAGCCTTAGGTGTAGAAATCTCCTTAGTCCCGACCCTTCATCGTGGAGGCAGTGCACATCGCCAGCGGGCGAAAAGAGGAGATCGACAAGTACAAGGCGCACCGGGCTTTCACGGTAGCGGAGCCCGGAGGCTCAGATTACGGGTTCAGGGAACCTGAGCACGCCGGGCATCCCGGCGAGAGGAGTCCGGCGCGGCCTTGTACAAGATGAGTGGCAGCTCAGTGACTCGCAACAAAGAAGGTGTGCCAAGCTGGAACGGAGAGCCGGGGACATGGACAGAATACAAGACGGCAACCCGAAGGTAGAGCTGCGATACACATGTGGGCCAAGGTTGGCAGCCGAGCTGGGAGGTGCAGCAAGAACTGTAATCCAAGGCCAGAAGAGCACTTGGCTCAGCGAGGCCAATGGTGCGGAGAAGCTCCTGAAGCACCTGCAGCATACCATTGGAGAGCCAGCCTTGCCCGAAGTGGGCAACTTCATGCGCCAATACTTCCGGGTGCTGAGGCACCGCAAAGGGGAGTCCGACGGCCTTCTGCGTTCGGCATCGTGAAGAATATGATCGCATGTGTAGGGCCCTTGGGCGCATGATGAAGGAGAATGGCGCCTCCACTGCCTCGACCGCTCGAGACCTAGGAATGCTTGGGAGCCATTCCGGGAATCGATCTGATGAGGGCAGCATCCAGAGCAGTGGTCCCGAGCCCACAGGGCGCACTGAGGCTGAGGGCCAGCCTGCGACCGGCAACAATGGTGGAGGCAATGACAACTGGAACGATGCAGCGCGGCGAAGCTCTGGAGGCTGGCAGGGCGGCTGGTGGACACCGTCATGGAGCGGCTACTCCTGGGACAGGCGAGATTCCACGGCAGCCACCCTTGAAGAGCAGAAAGAGGAGGATGCAGTGATCAGGTCCTCCCCGATGCTGTTCAGGGCTGGTTTCTCTTGGACAAGTGTGGCCTGGACCCCATGGAGCGGTCGGTTATCCAAGGTGACATCAAGTCCAACTTCACGCTGGCAGGTGTGGAGAACAGCTTGCGCAGCCATTGGACAGATGAACAGATCCGGCGCCGTGACGGCGAAGCCCGGAACCAGACCTTCTTCCAGGAGGAGGACGACAACATCTCCGAGCCCGATTACGAACCCGAAGACGCCTTCTTCCAAGGTTGGTCTGATCAAGAAGTCGCGTGGTACCAGGATGCTCGTGAGCAAGAACAACAAGCATGGATCCAGTTGCAGCAAGCGCCAAAGTGAGGTCAAGATGAGCCGCAGGTTTTACCGCCCAGGCAACGGCAAGGGCAACGCAAAGAACAGGGGTCCAGTGTAGGCCGCACCTCAGCCAGGTCCCTGCCTTCGCTGTGGCCGAGCACATCGCACTGCCGACTGCCCGAATAAGGGCAACCTCTCCGAGGAGAAGACGCTTGAGGCGGAGCACCTTCTACCAGCAGGGCGACAATGCCAAGGACATCGCGGCCACGACCTCACTCGCCAACACGCACCAGGAGTCGCCGGACGAGCAGCACGACTTTTACAACGAGGTCTTCGTGGCCGAAGGTGGCCAGCACATCACGACGGAGATGGCCATCCAGCAGGGGAAGGCAATCTTGGATCCGGGGGCAACTCGCTCCATGGGATCACTACATGCGGTGGAGGCGTTGCTCAACGTGAACATGGCACAACATGGAGACAGCGGCATCCGACATGTCGCCTTGGATGAGCGCCCCACCTTTGGCTTTGGAAATTCCCAGAAGTCACGGGCGATGTCTACTTGCTACATCCGCGCGCCTAGCGAGAAGCAGCCCCTCAACTTCAGGGTCCATGTGATTCCCGATGGCCAGGCTCGATACTGATGTCGATCGACACTTTGCGGCGGCTTGGCGCCATTATCGACTATGGCAAGGACCAGGCCATCTTCACGAATCTTTGCCCGAAGACCCTCGTCAGCCTTGAACGCGCGCAGCTTGGACATCAATTGCGGCCGTCGGGGGCTGACTTCTTGAGCCACGGCCGGCCTCTCCCTAGAGCAGTGATGAGCTTGGAGCAGCTTAGCGAGTAGGGGCCCAGACCCAGCTTAGGTTTGCCTGTGCCTGAGTGTGGCGTGAAATGTTGCTTTTGATAGAGAACCGTTCTAAGGGTAGTGTTCCGCAAAGTGCCTCCCAACAGTCTGCTGTGCCTCCGCTTGTGAGTGAGTGCCCTTTGTCCCCACCTGAGACTCGCCATGGCAAGCCAGAGCACCAACAACATGAACGCCGGCTATCCCCGCGGGACGGTGATGCAGCCAGCGAGCGAGATGAAGCCGCACTACCAGTGCACCATGAAAGAGCGCCGCGAGGAGCTGATGACCTTGCACAATCAGCGTCCCAACGACGACCTCTCGATTGCCGAGCTTCGTACCATGCTGAAGGAGTTCCGCCGTCAGAAGGGCATGGTGAAGGCCAAGACCCGCGACAACATGGACACAATCCCTCGTGCCAAGACGGCCGGCGCCAAGGAGCTGCGCAAGATCTGCGAGGAGATCTGGGTGAGCATCGGGGAGAAGGCCACGGTTGGCGAGATGAGGCTCGCGATCTGCATGAAGGACATGGACTCAGTGGACGAGAAGACTGTCCTGAACTTCGGCCGCCACAAGGGCAAGACGTACCGCCAGGTGCACGAGTTGGACAGCCAGTACCTGCCCTGGGCAAGCGGTCGCACAGCCCCGACCACAACTTGGTCAAGTTTGCGCGCTGGGCCGAGAAGCTCCTCAACGGCGAGACGGACATGAGCGACAGCGACGACAAGGAGTGGAGCCCCGTAGACATCCCGACGGGCACCTCAGCGA